CAAACAGTATGGTCTCCATCAGTCACAGTGGCTTCTTGTGACAATAACTTTTTAAACAAGAAAGAGATTTTAAAACCACAATAGGCAAACAGAGACAGCCTAAATTAAGAATCCCTGTTTAGACAAATAAAATTTTCTTTGGAAAAAAATTCAAAATATGAAATTGATATGGGAATTCAACAGGCCACGAGAAACACTTGTTTGATCTTCTTTGATAAATTGTTTGAGCTTCTTCCTGTAGGACTTTGAGGGAGCAAGGGGTAGGGGTCGGGGGAGAGGCAAGGAAGAAGGCTGTATAGGTCAGGAAAAAAGAACCACCTGCTCTAGGGCTCAGCCTGCCCAGCACTGAGTGCTATCATTTTGCATTTTTCAAGTACTTTTCCATATGGTTGTATTGATTTGCCTGTGAGTATGTACACACACACACACACACACAGCATATTGCCTAATATACGTAACCTACTCTAGAATAGCGTTGTTCAAAGGACATTCGCAGTCCATCCAAATCAGGTGGCGCTCTAACATAAGGAGAATACAGCTCCATCAGTGCCTTTGTTCTTTCCATTCACATGCCTGGAACTGTTTCCCATCATTTTTCTCCCTTTCTTTCCCTGGGCCACCCTTACAAGGATTTCTTTTCTACCTCCTCTGTTTTAAAATAAATTTAAATTGAATTCTCACTGCCCTTGCCTGACATTCTGTGCTCCTTTATTTTTCTCTATAGACTTTATCTCTTCTTACACACTTTACATTTTGCTTATTTATTGTGTTTCTTTGCTGCTTTCCTGACTAGAATATATATTCCCTAAAGATAGGGATTTCTGTCTCTTTTGTTCACTAACTATGGTCCAGGGCTTTGCATGGGACATGGCACATGGTAAGAAGTAAATAAATATTCATCAAATGGATGAATGAGGTAATAATGATAGAAATTACAAACTATTTAGAGCTAAAAGATGATGAAAGTATTCTGTAATAAGTGGAAGACATATGGGTACAACCACAAAACATTCTTGAAGTACTTAAGAGGGAGATCTGAATAAATGTCATAATAAAGATTCAATACAGGGCTTCCTTTATTGGTTTAGTGGTGAAGAATCTGCCTGCTAATGCAGGAGACATAGATTTGATCCCTGGTCCAGAAAGATCCCACATGCCATGGAGCAACTAAGCCCTTGGCCACAACTATTCAACATGTGCTCTGGAGCCCAGAAAGTGCAACAGCTGAGCCCATACACCCTAGAGTCTATGCACTAACATAATAACAGAAGCCTCTATAATGAGAAACCTGGGCAGTACAACTAGAGAGCAGCCCCCACTCACCACGACTAGAGAAAAGCCCCTGCAGTAATGAAGATCCAGCACAGCCAAAAATAAATAAGTAAATAAATAAAAATTATAAAAATAAGAAGATTCAATACAGCCAAGATAGGTGTCAATTCTTCCCAATTGATCCATAAATTCCAAAAGAGATTTTCATGAAGCTAAAAATCAGGGCTACGCAGAGAGACATCGTTTGCAGTTACACAGGTATTCAGTGCAAAGCTAGAATCAGACCACACAGATAGATTTCATTCCCTGCAATTCCAATCCTCTCCATCCTCCTCCTCTGCTCACCTACGAAGCCCTCCCACTACTTGTCTAATACTAGAGAGCAGATAGAATATTCAACCAAAAAAATGCTTTCATTTTAAAACCTGATGTTACTCAACAAACATGTATAGAAAACTTACTAACTTCAAAGCACTTCAGAGCGTTTATCACTATAAATTCATTTAATCTGAAGATAGTTATCCTTATGTCTCCTTTACAGATAAAGATACAGGCTTAGAAAAAGGAATAACTTGGTCTTGCCACTGACAGTTCATAGAGCCAGATCCGTCCAGGATATCTTGTGGGAGGCTTAAACTTGAGTGTGAAGTGAAAGTCGCTCAGTCGTGTCCAACTCTTTGTGGCTCCATGGACTGTAGCCCACCAGGCTACTCTATCCATGGAATTCTCCAAGCAAGATTATGGGAGTGGGTAGCCATTCCTTCTCCAAGGGATCTCCCCAGGGATCAAACCCATGCCTTTGTCTCCTGCGTTAGCAGGTGAATTCTTTCCAATCTGTGCCACCATGGAAGCCTCGGCCCTCAGTAAATATTCATGACAACAAGTTTATCTTAGAAAGCTGTATTACTTTTTTGGTCCTTAGTTTCTCATGGAAAGAAGGACTCTGTCTCCTGGAAGTCATGCTCCTTGGAAACCAAGAGAATGTATCCATTCCCTCAAACTTGTTTTGCTGGCTCCATGCAGTATATTTGAAAGGCTGAATTAGCTACCCATTAAAAAAGTGTAATGATCTCTCATGATATCTGGATTCCAACTTCTTTTGAAAATTCTAAATAACTGGAAACACTAGAACTAGAAAAACACATGCATTTCTTCATAGCAACTGATGGTTGGAGTTGAGCAGTTGTTGAAGTCACCATATCATTCAATTATTTTACCTGCCTTTATTTTATGAGTAAGATTTGATAATGAGATAGTGACAGAATGGCAGTTAGTAACTTCCCAGACCTCCATCCTGTGCATTATATCAGTCAAATTTTTTGCACCTGTGCCAATTGCAAGGAAGTCTTGAAATTATTATTTTCATCAGAAACTTACACAGGCCCATGATCTTCTATCAGATGGCAAATGCCCCTTCCCATATCTGGCTCCATGTAAGTCTCTTCATGCACAACAGTCAAGATTATCTCACATCTGGCTGAGCAGGGAAGCGGCTCATCCCTTCTATGTGAGTTGACCCAGAGCATTCTTAAACATCCCTTTCACAGGCTTATCAGTATCTCATGGAAGCTGTGCCCGTCACAAACTTTTCATCTCCTCTTTCCTTTCCACATGACTGCTCCACCATTGTGTGACACTCAAATGTCAAAAAGATGGCGGGGTGGCAGACTGTCAAATCCACTCCTGGGTCGGGGCTCATGGCAACAGCAGATGCTTCCGGTCACCTGGGAAATCACTGTGACTATAGCTACATATCAAGTTCAAGGTCAAAGTGAACTCTTGGCAAATGCTGCAAAAGTCGAATTTCTGAGCAGCTGTTTAAATAATTTATAACAGCAGAGTGTACGCCTGCTTGAAAAGTGAGACATAAGACTTCATGTAAGTGACACTTTTCTTTTATGTCTTAGAGGGCAAAGCCATTGGGTATCTCCACACGGAAGGACACACGGTTGGATGGTGATAATGCAGTCAAAATCCCCGAGTACTAATCTGACCTTGCCTATCCTCTGTCACTGACTAAAACCAAAGGTTCTGACAGATAAAGGAGTCACATATCAACCCTACACACCATATTCCAGCAAGGCATGATTTTATGTCCAGATGAAAGACACGCTGTGACATCATCTATTTGAAGAAGATGGAAAGCAGACACTTGCTGCCAACTCTCCATTCTCTGGAAAGCAGACATCCTAACACAGTTCATCTCCTTTTTAAAACCTTGCCCACAAATGTGGGAAAAGTTAAAGACTGACTCCATTCCCACAGGGCCAACTCATGCTGGAGGCTGGCGGCATGATGTTTACTGGCTGATGTAGAAGATGAGGGAATTAGCTATGTGGATAGCTGGGGGAAGTCCTTTTGATCAGAGGGGGACAGCTGGGACTAGTGTTACAAGGCAGCAATGTGCCTGGAATTTTTATGGAACTAATGCTTAGGCCAGTGTGACTGGGGCAGAGCAGAGAGATAGAGCAAGGGAGTCATAGCAGATGAAATCAGAGAGGAGCCACTTTAATAACCTCTAGCATGCCGGACACACAAATGTTTACTGAAGTCCATTTAAATACAAATAGAAGTAGTAGATCAAAACAACTGACTAGCAAACATGTCATAAAGTTTAGATACATATAATAATTCTGTATAAATGGAAAAGAAATAATACTTTCTCCAGTAACTCCCACATACAGCCTTGGATCAATCAACCTGACCATCCTATTTACTAAGATAAGCAAAAAAGCATCAATATATGTAGAAAACATAAGTAAACAAATGTGCAAGGGAAAGTACCACCATGAAAAATTACCTAATCATTTTGAACCTATTGCAGAAGAGCATTTATGCTTAAGCATGAATTGAATTTCCAAATGGATACAGAGCGCATACGTTTCATTCCCAGTGAAAAAAAGCTCTTCAGGAAATAGGTCATGAAAGCCATTAACTATTGCATGTTCTTCTCATTCAAGATTAATGTTGACCTGTATCTTCTTACATTCCCAAAATAGCCCTCAGCAGTATTTGCCCGAGCAAACACTCTGAAAACAAATAACAGCAAAAATGATCATAAGAAATCTACCAAGAAGTAATTATATCATCCTTGACATTATCTTAAGGGATTGAGTATAATTATCGACATCTCATTTACATAATCTCACTGCAATTCATATGACTTCCTATATTAGTTAAGTTTTGACACCTAATCAGCAGGTGTCAAAATTAATAATTTACCCCAAAAGTAAAAAACTATGATATATTCTACAGAAAAGACAAGGAATAATTCTTATGTGCCCACTTTGATGTGCTCATGACAGTTGGCAATTCTATGAAACATCTGATACCAGAAATAGCAACAGAAAAAACTTGAGTGGCTGCTCGGATGGTGAGTTCATGAGAGAAACAAGAAATTCTGTTCCTTGCTGGAAATTTTCAGAGTGCCTTCTGTAGACCCAAAGCAATATTCCAGAACTGTGGATTGATATGAAATGAAAGATACAAAGAAAAGCTCTGTTCTGAAAAACAAAACCCAGGATGAATAAGTCATGGAGATCCTTTACCTCCCTTGATAGCCTAACTCCCCAGGTGCTGAAAGATGGTATACAAAGAGTGACATCTATTGTTCAGGAAGGTTCAGGGGCGGGGTCAACCTGTTCCACTGGGCAGACAGTGCATTTGGTTCATAAGCAAATGTTGACCTGTCTCCCCAAAGGAGCAACCAAAGAACCTGAAGAGAGGCAATGGCCGCGAATATCCATCTCATGAAAGTTATCCAGGAAATGCGGGCAGAGATCCACAAGCTGGAGAAAGAGAATCAAGCCCTCCGGATGAAGCTGACGTTGAGCAGTCAGAGAACCCCAGGCTCAGGAGGAGAATCAGGAGATGAAAAGGAAGACACAGACCTCGGGAACCTTGAAGAAGTGCCCAGGCGATCTCCAGCAGCCCTTCATGGTGGTGTTGCCACTGATTCAGCCCCAGGTGTGAGAGAACACGAAGGTACTGACTACTCACAGTTCTTTGGGCTGTGCCCACCTTTGCCATTATCTGTTAAATAGTTGGCTTACTGTGCCTCTCACATAAGTGCATAGTTTGGTATTAACAGTGGTGTGGTTTTTTCCTGGTATTGGGTTGGCCAAAAGGTTCTCGTTACAGAAAGATGCTATGGAAAAATCCAAATGATCTATTTGGCCAAGATAGATAAGTTTTGAATTCCTAGGCAAAAATTTCTTTAACATCTTCAATTATCACATTTTAACAACATTAAAACTATCTCCAGTTATTCCTGAGAAGTTCAAGATGATGGATACGTGGAAATCGGTCATATGAAAAAGAATGCTTTATTCTCTTTCTTGACTTCAAGCATTTAAATGCTAGGTAATAGAACACCAAATGGGTATGTGTCAAATGGAGTGCTCGTTTATTAATCCAGAACAGTAGTGCACAACAGTTAGGTGTACGGATATCAAAGTCAGACAAATACGGTTGCCAATGATTTGACACTCATTAACCACTGCTTGATTTAGAGCTAGTTATAAGGAATCTTTAAGTCTCATTTTGTTCATTCAGAAGTGCTATAGTACCTATCTCAGGTGGTGATGGCTGGTTGTAATAATAAACTAAGTGCTTAGTACAGCATCTAACAAACACACAACCAAGGCAGATATTATTTCTTATCCATGTTTTAGAAGATCTTTACTGCCCTTTATGAATGTATGTTGCACATAATTCAACTCACTATATGCAGGTTGGAGACTTCAAGACTAAAAGTCAATGTCTGATACATTCTTTAAAAAATCTAATCTCTCACCTTTTATGGGAAAGAATTTTGACTGTGAAGACTATACATGAAATTAGAAATCAGGAGAGTGAAAAATATTGAGTTGGCCTAAAAAGTTCATTTTGATTTTTCATTGATTAGAAAAATAGCCAAATGCGATTTTGGGCAACTCAATATGTTCTACATTCAAATTGTCAAACTTGCCTACATATAGCATATTCAAATAAAATTGATACATACTTGAATACTCAAAGTGCTTAATATCTTCTGTCAAAGGCTTCAGGCAAGTCTATTTAGAGGTACTGAGCAGCTTAGCAATGGAACATGTCTTATCTCCAGCTGGTTTTTTGTTTGTTTGTTTTTTTCTGTTAAAGTGGTCTCTCTCTAGTGTGGGGCCCTATACTTCAAAGCTGGAGATAGATTCCAATCGGGGTCTTTTTCCTTGTTGTCAAGTACAGCTATGGATCTGAGTTATTCTGTCTGTTGGCTATTTAGTAAAACTTAAAGAGGAACCTATAAAGAAGTGAGACCTTCTCCTAGTGGGAAAAAAAAAAGATACAGACGTGTAATATATCCTCTAGGTTTCCTCCATCTCTGAATTCCTGACATTTGTAATGAATAACTCTGTATTATAGGAGTCTGTCTTGTCCATTGTAAGATGTTTAGCAAAGTATCTGCTTCTTCCCTTTGGTCATGATCATCAAAATGTCTTCAGACATTCCAAATATCACCTGGAGGATATTTCCCCTAGTTGAAAACCACTGCCTTACTCCAGACATTAAAAACTCCTTCAAAACTATTTTCCATGATGTTTCAGTTCATCTCAGTTCAGTCACTCAGTCATGTCCAACTCTTTGTGACCCCATTGACTGCAGCATGCCAGGCTTCCCTGTCCACCACCAACTCCCAGAGCTTTCTCAAACTCATTTCCATTAAGTCGGTGATGCCATCCAAGCATCTCATCCTCTGTCATCCTCTTCTCCTCCTGCCTTCAACCTTTCCCAGTAGTAGTCTTGATAACATTTGATAGGTCAGAAAAATATTATTTGACTTCAGTACAAAGTTTTTATTAGCAGTTTTAGTAAGATATTGCCAATAGGCAAATTCATACTTGCAACTTATTCATAAGAATGTGATGCTAGTGAAGAACTTGAGCGATCATCCCCTTATTTTACCATTTAGGATATAAGACCCAAAGAGATTAAGCAACTTGTCCTATCCTCTTTTGAAAACAAAATAATATAAACCTATACTCTGAGAAGGAACAATGTGAAATTAGAAGCATGTCTCACTTAAAGAAAGGGAACTGTTAAGCTGGGTCTGGGAGCAAATCACTTGGGACTAAATCCTCCTGGACATATCGGTGATAGTGTGCAAGCATTTGGTAGGTATGAAACCCAATCCATCTCATGGAGATGTTGCTCTCACCCCTCCTGCCCTTGGAATTCTCACCTTGGGTCTATTAGGGAAGAGATTGTTGCTCAGTCGCTCAGTCATGTCCGACTCTTTGCAACCCAGAGGACTGTAGCACACCAGGCTTCCCTGTCCATCACCATCTCCCAGAGTTTGCTCAAACTCATGTCCATTGAGTCGATGATGCCATCCAACCATCTCATCCTCTGTTGCCCCTTCTCCTCTTGCACTGAATCTTTCCCAGCATCAAGGTCTTTTCCAATAGGTCAGCTCTTCACATCAGGTGGCATAAGTTTTGGAGCTGCAGCTTCAAAATCAGCCCTTCCAATGAATATTCAGGGTTGCCTTCCTTTAGGATTGATTAGTTTGATCTTCTGCTATACAAGGGACTCTCAAGAGTCTTCTCCAGTCTCACAGTTTGAAGGGAAGAGATAATTTGCTACAAAGAAGATGCAAGAAACAACTCTTTACCGAGAAATTCCAGCATTGCTGCTGCTGCTGCTACTAAGTCACTTCAGTCATGTCTGACTCTGCGTGACCCCATAGATGGCAGCCCACCAGGCTCCCACGTCCCTGGGATTCTCCAGGCAAGAATAGTGGAGTGGGTTCCCATTTCCTTCTCCAATGCATGAAAGTAAAAAGTGAAAGTGAAGTCTTTCAGTTGTGTCTGACTCTTAGCAACCTCATGGACTACAGGCACCTCCGTCCATGGGATTTTCCAGGCAAGAGTCCTGGAGTAGGGTGCCATTGCCTTCTCTGCCAGCATTGCTAGAGCTCTGATTCTCTTCAATCTGCTCCTACCCTTATCTGACAAATAAACTTCATTTGACAGTAATCTTTGAAATGGTGCTGAAGATCCCATGATGTCATGTGGAACATTCTTTCCCTTCTATTGATAGGACACTAAAGAATACAGATTATTTGTGACCCAGAGACATAAACAAAGAACTTATTTTCTGATCAGTCATGTTGGAGTATAGGTCTCATATAAGAGCAAACTTAACTTTGCAATTGTTGGTATAATTTCCTCTATTATATTTTCCTATCATTTGGGGTATAAAGACATTGTTTTATAATCCTCTTAAATAGAAACTTTTATGTTTGTCAATAGGCATAAATCTTTTTTAAGATCATTATAAAAGTTATGTATCATGGCCAAAAGAAATGTTCAAAGATAATTTATGAATAGTTTTTGCAGTTAACTACTTCAGTTGGATCTGAACTTAAATTCCCCCACAGACTCTTGCCTAAAATCTGATCTTCTGCTCTTCCATATTATAAAAAGCAAGGGCAGCCTCCACTTCCTGTAATAGCTATATAATTTGCTGTCTGTGTTCTACAGAAATGGGTCACAAAATTTAAAAAAGATAAAATTGTGCTTCTAGGACTTTGAAAACCTAAACACGATGCTGGACTTTCTTACACTTTCCTGCTAGTTAATGGCAAAGCTGTGATGAGAAGAATAGAGTCAACAAACATTCATTAAGTACTCCAGAGAATGAATCCAGTCCATGAGGTCAGTGTCTTAGCCCCAGTGGTAATAACTAGATGTCTAAGTAGAGGCTGAATGACGGGCCCCAGGTCAGTTAGCAGAGTGTTAGATGTGAGATGCAGACAAACCAAGATGCCCTAAAATAAGCTCTTTTACTCAAGATGCTTTCATTCTAAGACTGGATATATGATTTGCCTCAAGGAAATAGTTTATTAGGAGACCTTTATGGATAGGAATTGAGCTGGAAACCCTCAGAAACTAAAGACATAAAGCCCTTGAGAGAAGGAGAAAAAACTCCTGTTTCCCACACAGGCGTTATTTCTTTTTTTCTTTTTTGCTGCAACTCAAGGCATGTGGGATCTTAGTTCCCTGATCAGGGATCAGACTCGCACCTCCTGCAGTGAAAGTGTGGCATCTTAGCCACTGGATCACCTGGGAAGTCCCAAGACATTTTTACTTCTTTCCACTTGTTTGCCTTGCTTTCATCTCTCATTCAACAGAGAGAGATGACTGCCCAACTAAAGCAAACACACACATTTCAGGCCAGTTGGCAGCAACCAGTTCAATTATTTGTGGTCATTCAGGTGATGAGGGGCTGTGGATGAGCACGTTCTTCTAGAATGGGGCTCGAGAAGCCATCCAGAACCGCATCCCTACAAGTTCATGTTCTTCCCATTCTAAAAGAGTATTCTATTATTTCATTGTGTGCAGGTTTCTGTTCATATTCTGTATTCTCAGGAAGGTGTTCTCTTACTACACTACTTAAATAGCCTCCAGACCTTGCCCTCATCTATCTCTAGCACCTTGCTCTCATCAGTCTTATTCATCCTCCTAAAATCTATTGCTAGCTGAATTTTATCATATATCTATTGTCTGTCAGCCACACAAGAAGGTAAGCTCTATGCAAGCAAGAATTTTGTGTTTTCACTTGCACACATCCATCTGTTTAAAAAGTGCCTGGCTCAGGGTTGGAACTCAATTGTTTGCAAAATAAATCAATGAATGAATATCTTTTATGCAAAAAATTCATCTAAAAACAACAGTTTTGTTTAGTTAGTTTCAATAAAATACTAGTAATACAGTCTTCCATTTGTGGATGTCATTAAAAATATAATTTTTAAACTTGAATTTTGTGTCTCCCTTACAGGCAATGTCATGATTGTTAGACGCTATTCCATTTCCTCACCAATTCATTCAAGTGACCCTTGGAAGACTAGGAGAAAACATCCAAACTGTGGACTTCTAGAAGTTCAAGGGACAGTCAAATCACTGGCTTCTTCAATTAAGAAGCAAGACAATGAAGAAAAGATGTTCACCTCGGCTTCTTTCACTACCAGTGGTTGCAGCAAAGGAGTGTTTCCTGAGCATGGTTTGGGTTGCAGGTAATGTACAATCCCCCTGGAGGGGGGCATGGTAATCCACTCCCGCATTCTTGCCTAGAGAATCCCCATGGACAGAGGAGCCTGGCGGGCTCCAGTCCCTGGGGAGTCGGACATGACCGACGTAATAAGCACAGCGCAGCACAAGGTACAATCCGCCTCGAGACACTTTATAGTTGCATAGTGTGATGGCTACTGAGACATTCCCCTGGATAAGCAAGGTCTTATACTGTGGAAGAACTATAAACAAGGAGGCTATTTAGCCATAATAATTTCCATCACATTTATGAGTTTTGAGAACCAAAAGAAACAAATTTATCTGAGATCAAATAGTACTCTCTAATAGATGCCTGTAAGAAGTGGAAAGTGATCAGTCTTCACTTACTCAACAAGCATGAATGATGGTACTCTGGGCTGGGTGCTGATGATCCAAGATTCAGCAAAAGCAAAATGTTATGTTCAAAACTTTCATTTAGGGACAAAGACACATAAGCAAACTGATCACTACAATAAAGTGTGTCTCAGGAAGAAGTCACATTTACACTGGGAGCCAAACACAGAATTCCTCTCTGAGGGAGAACGGTGCTTGCAGAGGAAGGCGCCTTCATGGGCTTTTGTGGGTACAAGAAAGGACACTTTAGGCATTAGCCAAACAGGCTAAGAGACAAAGACAAAACTGGCCTGTTCTGCAAAATACATGAATTGGTATTTAAGGAGTTAGAAGCAGCCTCCGAATGGGAGGGAGTGAGAAAACATTTGAGAAGTAGGCTGGGAATCTTTTAGAGGAGAGTTGGCCAGTGGCCCCTGGTGTGGGTAAAGCCAAGAGCTCTTTTGGAACAAGACTGTCACCATCAAGCACTAGAGTGTCAGAGTATCACCTCCCCTCCTCCACTCTCTGTACTTCTACCTCCCAATTCCCAGTTAGGCTCTGACTCTTTATCAAGAGTCTATACGCACTATAGATAATCGGCCAGGACCTACTGTTTAGCACAGGGAACTCTACTTAATATTCTGTAATAACCTAGATGGGAATAGACTCAGAAAAAGAAAAAAAAAATGATACGGTTACTTACAAAACAAAGAGTCTATACACATTTGTCTCTTTTGAGGAGAAGGAGAAAAATCAAGAAAAAGGGACCTGGTTTCATGATTAACTTATTGTGAGGAAGAGAAAATGGAACAAATATGGTTGTTTAGAGAATCAGTGAGTCATCTAATTCAGCAGTGGCAGGAAATCAAATCAAAGTGGTAGTCATAATTAATAAGCCATCAGGAATTCTCATAAATATGGAAAACAGCACTGGTCTTCCCATGGGATGTAGGATACAAAGGTTGAGCCAGTTTTATTTCAATTTCACGAAGCAGGATGAACATCATGTTTCACTTGTAGAAAGTTCTATTATAGGAGGAGAGAGGAACCTGGTCAGAAAGGACAGGCAAAGACAAATGTACAGCGTACCCCACTAGAGCAAAAAAGAGAAGAAGATAGAAGAAATCATGACTATGGAGAAAACTAGAAGCAGGGAAGTCAGTGAGGATGGAGAAGTTGGCAGTATCCATTGCAGAAGGCATTCCATGGAATGCTGGGAGTATGTGCTTTATCCAGTAATTATTGGAAGGCTGATAAAAAATGTCTTCACGAAAATTTTCAAAATACACAAATATTCAGAAACTAATATTACAAATACCAATGCATCCATCTGCAAGAGTTTTTTCATAGTTTATCAGATATTTTTATATATAAGAAAAAAAGTGTTACTAAGAAAGAAAAGGGACATCTCTTCCCCTGTCCTCCTAAGGGGCAAGCATTACCAGGAATTTTGTTTCTATCCTTTAGGTCTATTTTTTATGCTTTCATTACACACATTTATTCGACAAATACATCTTAAATGTGTACTATGTGCTGGGCAGGATTCTAGGCACTGAGGATACAGCAGGAAACAAAATTGTCAGAAATCTCTGCCAATGTGGAGTTTTTCCTCTGTAACATGATGATCAATCAACATGAAAATACATGAAGCATATAGTTAGACAGGGAAACAAGTAACCCAATCAAAGGAAAAATGAAGGGCTTGAGAAGCAAGCATTGTTGAAATGTTAATTGAAATGAATTGTTGTAGCCAGAAAATATGACAGTATTTGAATAAAGATGGGAGAGAAAGTTCTGGGGATATGAGCAGGGGTTTGGAGTGGATGGATGAGGGGACTTGCCAGACATTGAGAACAGTGAATGCCAGAGGGCTGGGTGGGCTCAGAAATGACCGGTGTTTAAGGAAGGGCAAGGAGCCTGGTTCTGAATGCAGTGGAGGGAGCGAGCAAGACAGAGAGCAATGAAAAAGAGAGCTAAGGATGGCCATCCACTCTTTTCAGTGTTCTAGATCTATTGCAAGTGAACTGGGATGTATAACATACTCTTTTCATTAGTAAATGTATTAATATATAATATATATATATATGGAACTCTGTTTTGAAAGGACTCTAGGAAAATAATACAGAAAACAAGAGGACCCATTTAAAGCTAAAAAGTAATTTAGGCAAGAAATGATTATTTATTGGCCAACAGCAATAACTGAATGTGGTTTCTAATCTTGTTTTGAAGATGGGCCCAACAAGATTTGTTAACAGAACAGATGTAGGATATGGAAAGAATAAGTGAACACCCAACCATTGTGCTCCAATGGCCATGTGTTTTCAAAGAGGGAGGAGGGAAGAAAGGCAGAGACGTACTCTTTGTCTGAGTAAAATTATGTATATGTAATAGACAGTCATATGAAAGCACTAAATGTTCCTTGTTTTCAAAATTGCAAATTAAAAAATATAAATACAATATACAAAGTAAAAAGTATAAAAAGGAATATCTTCCATAATCCCACTACCTGAAAAACCACCACTAAGATTTTTATTTTTTTATTTATTTTATTTATTTATTTGGCTGTACCAGATCTTAGTTGTAGCATGCTGGATGTAGCTCCCTGACCAGGGATCAAACTCAGAACCCCTGCATTAGGGGCTCAGAGTCTTAGCCACTGGACCACCAGGGAAGTCCCCATCATTGAGATTTTAATGGCTATCTCTCCATGCTAGTATCTAGGTAGTTTGTAATTGTACAGTGTCTGTATTATAATGGTTTAGTTTTTGCAGTTAAATCACTACAGGTCCACAGACCTACAACACTACACTGAGAAATAAAGTAATATTAATTTTTCCATTTCAGTTTATATTACTTTCTATGATAGTTTGGGAACCTAGCCAATGTTTATAACGCATTACTTTTCTGAAGCAAAATGTTTTCCAACATCCAAGCTGCCAGTGAATAAACTATTAGAACACAATCCATTTCTAATTTGGAACCTACTTTAATTTGAAAGATTGAGCCAATTGTAGAATTGTGTTAAAGCAAGAAAGTCAGTAACGGCTGAAAATCAACAGCTGGGTTGGCATAAAACCCAGTAGATACAGAGAATGGTTTCGTAGGAATTAAGCATTTTCTTTGGTAGTCTTTTTTTTATTTTGTCTTTTACTTTCTCAGGGATTAACTAGTAAAGTAACAACTCATTACATTTTTCCTCTAATTTGGGGAGTAAATTCATTTCCTTTCTAATAGCTTTCAAAGAATCTTACAAAGATTTATCAAGAACCAACCATATGTTTGAACTAGCTTTCAAATCAATGAGATATCATTCCTAATTTGCTCATGAACTTTTCAACTGTTATACCAATAAAGTATTTTACAGAAGAAAGCCAGTGTCAATATCTCTAAGAACCCATGCTCTCCAGAAACTAGAGATTGTATTTTAATTTTTTCCCTCACTTTGACATAAAAATCCTATCTTTTACTCCTGCGTTCAAGAAAAAATAATAACCTTAGGCTGTTGGAAAGATTAGGGAGGAGGGTCCATATACACAATGGAACTTAGAAAGGCTATTTTACTAATAGGACAAAACAGACACATTAAAATAAATACATTGTCTTCTTTTTCTAAGCAAAGTCGTTAAGAAGACAGCCTCTGGAATCAGATGACTAAAATTCCAGCTCCATCATTTGCAAAGAGCATGGTCTTGGAAAAGTTATTAGTCTGTCTTGTGCCATAGTTTATTTTTTTGTAAAAAGAGAATCATAATAGCAGTGACCTCATAGTTTTTGTGAAGAATAAATGGGAGAGTCTAGTGAATGCTTGCTAAGTGGCAGAGCAGTTATTATTTTATTGATCCCAACATATGGAACAATTGGCCTTCCTCCCAAGGGAGGGAGCAGATGTGTGTTCCCCACAATACAGCCGCTAAATGCCATTCTGTGAAATTATGGCCTTATCTAATTAAAGAGAGAGAGATCAAAACTAGAGAAAAGACAATCATTCTAAACACTATTCTTTAGACTCATTCCTGGGAGCACTTTATCCTGGTTTATGTCAAACTTGTACATAACACTGTTCAAGGAGAAAGGAGCAGTGGGCAGAATGAAAAGATTTAATCCCCCAGATAACACTAGGTCTTATGATGTGATGGACAGTCATCAAAATCCAAAATGGTGCGTTGATCTGAATTTAGAAAATAATTGTCCCAAATTTCTGCTTCATTTCAACTGAAGAGCTTTGATATGCAGGACCCTTTGTTGAGAGAACATATTAATCTTTAGCTTTAAACATCAAGCTAAGAATCCTCAGATGTGCAGTCCTCCCCTCAAAAGTTTTAAGTTTTAGTTTTTCCAGCACTATCCACTGGTTTAATCAAAAGGCCAGTTACAGCATATTTTCTTGCATTCCAAATTGTTTTCTTGAACAACTAAACAAAAAAATAGTATGGTATATGTAAGTTGAACGTTTAACTCTTTAGGCATTATTTGGTACTTGGAAAAATGTAGAAATAGTAGAATGTTTCTACTATTTTGTAGACATAGTAAATGTTTTGTGTAAAGCATCACTAAATTTTTATTTCTCTCTCCTTTATTCTGCTTTCTTTAGGGACAAGATAAAGACAGTCGGTTTCCTGTTACCCATGAACATGTCTTCGTATTCCAAGGATTCAAGTTCTTTGAAATACTCACCAAACCAGCTAAGTACTATTCTAGAGTAGGATACTCAAGGTGGTGAAATTTAAGACACAGCTGATTTCCAACATGTGGGAACACTGAGGAGTGTTTGGGTCAGTGTCCCCCGCCCCCCTGCAAAGAGCTCTGAGAATATGCTCACTAAGGGCTTTCAATAGTTGAGTCCAAGATCTCTCTTAGTAAATGTCTCACTGCACTTGAAAATATATGGGTTATTGTCAAATACCTTTTGATATTGATTTCTAATATAATTCCACAGTGATAAGAGAACAGACTCTGTATGATTTCAGTAGCTTTGGGCTGTGAAATTTTTGCACCCTGTTTTATGTCCTTGGATCTGTTCCAGGGTCTCCTAGTTTAAAGCCTATGGCAACTGGAATAGAAATAGTTTCCTACTGTTGTGTGAAAATTGTATAAATCTTAATTATGCTGAATTGGCTCACAATGCTTTTTGGGTCTACTATATCCTTCTACTTCTCTGCATGTTCATTCTATTAATTTTTGAGAGTTTGATATTGAAACTCCAATTTAAAAATCTTAATTTATCTACTCTAAAAATAATTATAATATATAGTGGAAATATATTGGAATATAGTGCAAATAAACTTGTTCTGTATTTTCCAAGTCTCCCGTAAATGTGTTATCATAGTTTCATAATTTAAAATAGAAAAATAAAAAAATGTTCACTAAGACACACAAAATACCCAACGTTGGGTCAATGGAGTTGTCAAAAGACCTGAGCAAGAAATGGAAGTCATTATTTTATGTTGTCACTGAATATTAATGTTGATGTGTGCACAGTGGCTGTGGCAGTCTCTCTATGCAGCCTCTGAGCAATTAAATAATATTAAATTAAATTGCTTGCTAAGCGTTCAGTATCTGTGTTATGCTATCATGAAATTCTTCTGTTCCCATTATGGGTCACTCTCCAGATGAAACTATAACACATCTAGGAAAAAAATTCTATATCTGACTAATAACATAGAAGCCATAGTGATTATACTTAGAGTTAATTGTGGGCTGATATTTCACTGATACAAGCTCATTTAATCTTTTAATATCCTGTGTCATTGGCACATGAACACAAACACAGCAAACTCCCACAGCGTTATGTTTTGGACTCAGAGTAACTGGGAGCTAATGGTAAAGACACTCATCTTGGTTGGAAGGAGAGAGGAAAATGTTAAAATCATCATTGCGTAGGGATTGGAAATCTGAAATCCCTCAGATCCCAAACCTCTGTTCAAGAGTCCCTTCCCCACTGCAGGTTTACATCATGTTTTAATACCAATATGCCTTTTAAACAAATATGTTAAAATCTCCTATTTTCAAAGCAGAAATAGAGATGCAGACATAGAGAACAAACCTATGGACACCAAGGAGGAGACAGAGAGGGTGTGAAGAGAGATTGGGAATGACATATACACGCTATTGATATTTTATATGAAATAGGTAACTAATGAGAACCTATTATATAGCACAGGGAACTCTAATCAATGCTCTGTTGTAACATAGACAGGAGGGAAATCCAAAAAAGAGGAGATATATGTATACATAAAGCAGATTCACTCTGCTATCCAATATAAACTAACGCAACATTGTAAAGCAACTATACTACAATAAATTTTTTTTGTTAATCTCCAAAGTGTTAGGATGTAGATTTGGGGCTCCCAAAAGGAACAAGACAAGAAATTCACATTTTAAACAAGCCTTCCCAAATGATTTCTTCTACAGCTATGATTTCGATCCGCTGCTGTAAACAGTAAGAATCACAGAATGCCCCAGATGAGACACCAAGTTGAAAGGGAAGCACTGAAGCAAGGAAACGGTAGAAATGTTCCAATCTCTTTCCAATAGAGGATTTTAATAATCACAAAACAGACTCCTAGAAGGGAGATGGAGGAATCAATGACTATCCCGAAGTAAAAACAGCATAATGGGTCAAACCCGTCTTTTATTTATTATATTAATTTAAGATTAATGATATTCTCAACATTATAACAGATGAACAACAGGGCAAGGTTAGGGGAGAGATACAAATGAGATGTAAAAACATTCATCTGGGAATAAAGGTGCGTGCCACAATTAAGCTATTAACCTATGTGATTATTGGAATTTTTAGTTCATGCATGATTCTATTTTCTGCATAGTTACAAAATGGAGAATTTTGTGTTGACATCAAAGAAACATTTTCCAGTATTTTTTTTTTAAAAAAAGCAATGACTGACAATCACCAGTTACAGTGTCATAACTGGCAAAGTTATAATGACATTACCCCAATGCCCAGCTCAATGACTAATTTGTGATTGGCATTACACACACAGTCCGTGACTTGAACTGAATAAACAGTTACATGAGACTATCCCTTCCCAGTGAGAAATACCGCACCATCAAATATTATACTTTGAAATTAAGTTGCTTAATATTATGACGAAAGAAACAGAGTTCCAACTCTGTTCCCTGACTCTGTAGAGTCTGATAGTAAAGCCTCTGAGCATATTTTTTAATACAATGAACTACAAAGAACAGAAACATATCTCAGTCGTGCTCTGATCTACCAATTATATCTCTTCTTCTGTGATCCAAACTTCTGTAAGTCAGGAGCCCAAATATCCAGCAGGGACAGGCAAGTGACCAAAATGAGTGAGGACTCTGGAGAACAAGCGTATGCACACCCCAGCCAAAGGGGGCTGCAACCATTCACCCTTGGGAGGCTGTGTGGGAAGTGGACACTGCATTGTCATGTGGTCTATTGTCCAAGGGATGTTAAAATCTGAATTTTTATGCAAAACTCTCCTGATTCATAAATACTGGCATCATGTTTGATTTTTAAAACATTATAAAAATGAAACACAATATATCCAAAGACCTGATTTAAGATATCAGGTTTTAACCTCTGATTTAAATGCAATTCCTTTTTTTTTCTTAGGCTTTTTATTTATTTCCTTATTGGAGTGTGGTCGCCTTACAATGTTGTTAGTATCTGTACAGCAAAGTTACTCTCTTTCATAAATTGATATCTTGCAAATGTCCATCAACAAATAAACCTATTGAAATGAAGGAAAATATAAACAATATATTCAAAATCAAATGTAAGCCCAGATAACTTTTCTAGCACTCCAGTTCTCTCTGCTCCCATTTCCTTGAGCTATTTCTACTCCCTAAGCTGTAAATCTAGAACAAACTTAACTGGAAAGATACCTGTGTACAGGCACAATATGACACATTATGGAGTTCATTTTATTACTTTTCAAATTCTAGCTTATCCTCTAGAAAACACATCTTAGGAAACTTGAAGAATCCTGGCAGGCACAATCATTGAGCCTGATGTTTTTGCCTCCAAGATAAAAAGCAAAGTACACTAGTACCTGCTGATTATGAGAAGTACTACCCATAGAACTTAAAAGATATGATAAAAACAGTCTGAAAGAGGACTATGTGGTTATTGTAATCAACAAAAATGTTTAGTGATAGTGTTTTTTTTAAGAGACAGTTCTGCTGCCTGAAGTAGTACTTAATTTTTAAATATTGATGCAGATGAGACAAGTGCTCGGGCCTGGTGCACTGGGAAGACCCAGAGGAATCGGGTGGAGAGGGAGGTAGGAGGGGGGATCAGGATGGGGAATACATGTAAATCCATGGCTGATTCATGTCAATGTATGGCAAAAACCACTACAATATTGTAAAGTAATTAGCCTCCAACTAATAAAAATAAATGAAAAAAAAACTGATGCAAAGAAATCTTCATTCATTCAAACTGTATTTGAAAAAGCACATAGTTGGAGAATCCTCTTTCTTATATGGGAGTTAATAAAAGACCTGTTGTAGCTTTAATTTTTCTTTGATTCCTGCTTTTATATTAGCACTGTGAGATAGTCAAAATATTTCATGACTACAATAATCTGCTCATAATTACTTTTTAAAAGCTGAGAAAAGAAAGACTGAATTTATCCAGTCTCATATATACATACTTAATACTTTGACATTATTAAAACTCCTTCTAAAGTTGATCTTGAAACAATTCACCCTCAACTCAGAGAGAGATTACACTTGTTCCTGTCCAGTTTTGCTAAAAGATAATTCTATATGGCCCTCAGGTTTGCATTCAGGAAATAGCTCCCCATTTTTCCTTTTCCCTAACTAGAATTTGTCCTTCTGCAATCACCTTAAAATTTTTACATTTGAGATGTCTGAATCTGAGGACCAATTGAAAGCCTATTCTTTCTAGGATAAATGTACATGTGTTAATATACAATATTTGTTTTTCTCTCTCTGACTTCACTCTGTATAATGGGCTCTAGGTTCATCCACTTCATTAGAATTGAACCCATATGAAGGGAGCAATGGAGATGCAGACATAGAGAACAGACTTGTGGACTCAGTGGGGGAAGGAGAGGATGGCATGAGTTGGAAGAGAAGCATTGAAACAATACATTATCATATGTAAAATAGATAGCCAGTGGGAATTTGCTGCATGACGCAGGGAGCTCAGATCCGGTGCTCTGTGACAACCTGGAGGGGTAAGATGGAGTGGGAGGTGGGAGGGAGGTTCACAAGGGAGGAGACCTATGTATACCTATGGCTGATTCATGTGTATGTATAGTAGAAACCAACACAATGTTGTAAAGCAATTAAAAATAAATAAATCCTCCAATTAAAGACAAATTTTTTAAGCTTTATTCATAAGAACAATACATTCATTCTGCATCTGCTCAATACCATTTTTGAAGACTATATGCATCTTTGTTAAGAGTGTTCCAAAAAATACAGTACCCCTCTCCTTTAGGGAACACGGTGATCAGTCTTAATTTTACTCATTCATGAAAATTGTCCCCAACTCCATCCATTAATTCCCAAATACACACCCTTTCTCTTTTCTTTCCTTCTCAGCCTTGAGGATTTTTAATTCACACAGTTACTTCAGACCAGGAACTCACTTCTGATGGGACGATAGGAGAGCAAGCAAGACTTTCTAAGTAGGAAAAATATTCACTTTCTGAAACACCCAGAAAGTTCTTGGTCTTTG